CTGTAACTTTTAAATCTTTTACTTTATTCATAATTTTCTTGCACAACTTTTTTCTTTCTATGGGGATTTCTTAAAAATACGTACATGACTGTTATTGTTAGTTGACATCATGTCAGTTACCCCTGTGTGCAGAGTAGAATTAACAGCTTCCTAGGGAAGCAGATCATCAGGCCTGGCTTCTAAGGCTCCCTGGGACGGTTCAAACAGACAACTGAGCTAGAGTCTTTGCTTCACCCCGGCCATCCAGACACCTCACGTACACATAGATGTGTAGACAACTATCCACATGGGCTGTGCCTAGGAAAGCGTACACAAAAATCAAAATGGTTTTGTTGGGATGGTAAGATGTTAAGTGTTTACATGTGTACTTGTTTGCTTATTTTAAAAAACAATTATAAGTGAAAATTAATCAAATTATAGGATATTTAAAATACTTGAAAATCTAGTTCATTCTACATTAAACCCCAGAAGCATATCAAATTTAAGCAACAGTTGAGATGAAAGTATTCAACATTGTTAAAAATGTGTTTACCTGTAACAGTGAAGTAACATTAGTGGAGTGCAATTAAGGAATAATGAGTAGACTTGCTCAATTTTACATTTTCATTCTTTAGAAATTTTGTGTTGAACATCCTTGAGGGCAGCAATGTTTGTATATTGGACCTGTCTTCTCTTTGCTCTTTTTCTCCCCTATTATTTCTTAACTTCCGCACTAGTGATTTAAACAAAAAAATTAAGTAGATCTCCCTCTTTTAAAAAAAGCATAATTAAAATTATCTCTGAAATAACTGGACACTACTGGATTTGGAAAATAAATATCATGCTCAGGGTTAACTGAGTTATACTTTTTGTTAGGAAACAGATTTTAAAGTCATGTAATTAAGAGATAAATTGTAATTGTCTCATTTAATATCCAAATCAGTACTTTTTTCTAAAATAAGTAGTAAACTAAATAAAATTAGCATTTGCTTGTTATATGTAAGATGCTTAACATTATACTTTTTTGAACATTTTAAACGTAGGTCATTTATAACAGCTTAAAGGATTTATATCATAGAAACTCTTGAAACTATTGTGTGTTTCTATTAAGAGACCGTGGGAGTGCAATTACCTCTTGATAAATTATCTTGGGCAATTAAAAATATTTATCTTAGCTATTTCCCTCTTCCCAGTATACTTTCGTTTATCACTATTCTCTGGTGTTTATAGAAACAAATTTTAATAGTAGCTTAAGCAAAATATGATTAGGAAGACAATTCTGCTACAGAAGAGGCTGTTATAGACTTCAAAGCTAAATACAAATAATTTCTAAGTTACGTGTTGTTCTGGATCATTTGGATTGCATTGTTGCTTTATTAGTAAGGATAATTATGATACACTATAATTTTAATCTTGACTGGCATCTTGTAACTCCAGATCTTGACAGAAGCCCTGCCAAGTAATCATAGCTGTCTCCATTCTGAGAAGAACTTCGAAGACCAAAGAATTTAAGGATCTTGCTTCATTTAAGGTTCATTATTAATTAGGGATATATTTGAGATTTCTTTATCTGATACCTGGGAGCCTCAAAATTTTGTGGAAAATTGGAATGAAAGATAAAGGAATTTTTCCATGAATTTTTTGAAGCCCACTCATATCAATCCTGATCAAATTTAATTGGCTGATAAAATCGCTGCAGTGAAGATTTTCTTGATGTTGATTTTTTACATAATAGCCCAAGGAATTAATCCCATGCATTTTTAACTAAGACAAATAAAAGTGTTTGCCTGTAGAAACTTAAGATAATTTTTGTTTCTTACCGTATTTCATCACAGTGTCAAGCATGCATTTGTTCAGATCCCTTGGTTCTGTTCATATCTAAGTAGGAATTTACTGTTGTGTCTCTTGTTGAATGGTTGTAAGGCGGGTATACTCTTAGACTATAAAGGCAGTGAGCGGGCACTGATGGCCAATGCCTAATCCAAATATGGGCTGTATGAAATACTTTACATATAACTCCAGATCTTGACAGAAGCCCTGCCAAGTAATCATAGCTGTCTCCATTCTGAGAAGAACATCGAAGACCAAAGAATTTAAGGATCTTGCTTCATTTAAGGTCATGTAGCCAGGAAGTGGAAGTTCCTGGAACCTCTGTCTGACTCCAGAGCCTGAGCACATTCAACTGTGCCATACTTTTTCTCATGTTCGTTGTGACTTGTACAGGTCATAAAGAAATTGAGTCACTTCTACAAACCTGATACATGAACATCTAGGTTTACCAAGAAGAGAATTTTAAGATTTTCTGTACTTTTTTTTGAGGTGATTCAATCAACTCATGTTCTTTAGTGACATAACACAGCATTTAAAAAGATTATCTCTTCTAAAATTCAATCTCCATGTATATTTTAGTACTACTTGTATTATGAGATCATGTCAAGTGAGATAAACCTACTTTGCGAGAGCCTGTGTTGTACCAAGTTCTAGGTATCTGAGGTACCAGTAGTCTGCAGAACCAGACCTTCCCTGCCAGCTCCAGAACTGCCATCCTGGGCTTTCAGATCGCTCACTAACCGGTGATATATGGTACATAAATCAAACCTTTAAGGCAATTTCTTCATCTGTAAAGGTCATTGACAGGATTGAGATAATTCACATTCAGAGCATCTGCCGTATAGTAAACACCTAATAAATAGTACCGTTTTTTATCCTAAAAATAGCATGTGAGTGTAAGTACAGACTGGTTAGACTAGGGCCCGGTGTTGGTGTCCTAACTGTGGGTTGTTGGTTCAAACCTACCAGCCACCATGTGGGAGAAAGATGAGGGTGACTGTCTGGTCTTGGAACCCCTGTAAAGGGTCACTATGCACCACCATCCACTGGATGGCTGTGTCCTTTTTGCCCAGTCTGAAAGAGTAGTCATCCCTGTATCACACACAAGTTCTCTAAGGGTTTTCCTTTCATAGTGTTCTGCACACTGTCACATAAATTTAAAATGTCATAAAAACCATAACCATATTTTTATTTTTCACCTTTTAAGGATAGTGTAAGAAGCCTAGTGTGGGATTATTTCCAGTAACAAACACGTACACGTTTGGCTCATAGCAACTCTAGTAGCTTTGTTGCAGTATTTATTTTTGAGGGAAAGATTTGAGAAGAAATTCTTGGGTACTACAAACAAAAATATGATGACATCTTCACTCTGACTTTATACATTTTCTGTGATTCTCCAGCTTTCTGAAGGGAAGCTATTGTCATTTGTTTTTAGAAAATAATAAAATTAAAAACTAGAAATGTCTAGATTTATTACAGCATTTAGTTTCTTGAATATGTAAATCTAAGTGCAACTAACTTTGAGTTAAGAAAGAATCATTTATAAAGTTACACAAGAGTAATCATTCAAGTTAATCCCCCCCCCCCTCTTAAAATTGCTTTAGGGCAATGTGAATTAGCAAAGACTTAAGAAAGAATTAAATATATCCAGTGATGATTTTTTTTTTGTTGAGATGTACATTTAAAACATTCAAACCTTTCTTTAAATAGTGGTTTTTAGTTATAATCATTTTTTAGTAACAGTTAAATTGTCTTTCTGTGACTTGATGCGAAACCTTATTGGTCAGACTTCTGAGAGATTTGTTCATTTATATCTCCTGGAAAGGATAATGTCAAGACTGTTTATACTATCTGGGATAAAATCTTGTTAGAGAAAAACCTTGCTTTGATGTGAAATCACTACCATATTTTTCACGATCAAAATCCAAATGCCAAGGAAAAGCCACCTCTCAAAAGCTGGAGAGGTTTACACAGAAACAATGTAATTGCCATGACTGCTAAAATACATTTACCCTCCCTCCATATTTATATTCCTCTAAATCTAAATCAAGTCATTTGGAAGTAAAGTACATAAGAGATAATATGATGTTTTAAAAGACATGTTTTTTGTCTTGATATGCATAGAAGATTGTGAAGATAGTGTGTTCTTTTTTTTTTAAAGTAAGTTGTAAAATATATTTTATACAAGTAGATTTTTAAAGGTTTCTTGACAGAGTGTCCAGCTAAGAACTCTTAGCTGTTGTACCTGGAAGTCAGGTATAATTCTGGAAATGCATTGCTAGTTTTACAAGTTTAATCTGAGCTTTTACGCATAATGAAACTGTTGACATGTGTGCTCATTAAAACCAGATAACCACAGTCAAGTTTTTAGAAATCCTATGTGGATGTTTATGAAAATAAAGATAACAATCTTAATGGAGTTGGTTTAAAGAAACACATTTAGAATTTGTTCTTAGAAACTAAAGTGGCATGGTGTAATTATTTCTGGAGAAAAGTGCGCTTAAATTCAAAGCTAAATCACTGGATTATTTCCTTGAGACAGTAATTCATAAAATTTAATCAGCTGGGGGGTAGGGGGAATGCTGCTTCTTTAGCATAAAGAACTTAAAACTTTGGGAGTCTGAGATTTTGTATCAAGGTAAATATTAAAGAGAATCAATGAAGTTTTTAAAATAAGAATGTTATTTAGTGGTATTCATTTAATATTTTGACCTTGGAAAAACCAACAGATAGATATTCAGGGTGATTCTGAAAACTAGGTGCTATGTTGGAGCTCACCCTGCAATGCCATGAGTCTGCTGACTTTGCCCACTTCTCAGACCGGCCCGTGTTACTCTAGCCTCTGATCAACTCCCTCTGTCAGTGCATATAATACTGTGCGAAATTATCAAGTGGCACTCATCGTTTTTTAAGCTGACACATTTAACTTCTTGTTAAAATTATTAGTACAAGCAAAGAAGCTAGCATCACCTTTTTACCCACTCTTTCCTTTTATTGTCATTAATATGTTTTCTAGGAATTGTTAGCAAATTATCAATTGAGCTATAATTCTAATATGAAATACAAGAAATAAGTTTTGGGTGCCTGCCATTAAAAATTAAACCAGTACCTTCCTACAGTCTCATTTTGCTGCACTATAGCTTTGTTTTAATAAATCTGCACACGTACTCCCAGTGGCTAACCATGCCAGTTCAGTTTCTTTTGATATTTGCCATAACTAGAAAGAATTGTAAATCTCACAGCCTCTTAAAATATTTTATTACCATTTACTTGAGTGCACGAAAGATAACATGTACATGCTTGATCGTGATGCTGCAAGTACCCGAGACATTCTGATGGAAAGACAGTTTGAGGAGAAATAAACAAGTAGCGAAAGCATTCAGTCTTTATTTACAATATGTCGATCTCTGTGTTTTCATTTTAGGTGTAAGAGTCTCATCAGCAGGAACACCCATAGAAGGACGTGATTAGCGATAGGATTTACATACCGTTAGCTCCCAGTCATTGATTAGCAGTCGGGCTAGGGCTCTGTAGTACAGAGCCTGCTGGGCATGTTGTTAGGGATGCCTTTGATGCTGCTGTTATCCGAAGCTTGCTGGCTGCATGCTTGCTGCTTTGTTCTAGATGCAGGTGATTACTTGATAAAATGAAGTGCATCGCTGTGAACAATTGACCCTTTGGAACAATCCAGGCTGGTCAGCAGTCTAAAACCACACTTTAAAGCCATCATTATAGCTTCAAACTTAAGAGTTTCCAAGGTGCAGACAAAGGTGTTGTCTTCCTTTAGTACAAGTCGAGTGCCATTTTCAGACTTTATGAAGTATTTAAATTGAATAATATTAGATGATATTGAAAACTCCTCTGGAAATCCATCCAGCCTGCTTTTGGATACCAACACAATGCGAGATTTTATTTTTGATATGAAATCAGGAGCATTACAGAAGATTCTCAGTCCTTGAGAGCGGTCGTGGTTGTCTGTTATTTCCAAGAAAGTCGTCTCTCTGGGTGTTAGCTGTTCTTTTTCCCACCTGGATTTCACTTCTTCTGCCAGTCCTTTCAGCTGAAAGAATTCAGCTTCTTGTGCCAGAAGTTGATTTTCTCGAAACCCTTCAGGCAGCAAAAGTTCTCCATTTCGTAGGAAGTTTAGGACATGCCTGAAGAGGAGCCCATCTCTGTCTATGAAGTAATGACCGTCCGCGTCAAACGGGCAGGGGATTTTCCCGTTCGCTATCCCTTCCAGGACAGTGTCGGGGTACTTGGTCAGGGTTTGCTTTTGGGTAATGTATAAATACCCACCAACGTTGAGGGTCAGCACGGTGGACTTGCGGTTCTTTCCTTGGTCAGCCTCTTCTGTACTGTTGTGGGTCCCCTCACAGTCCTCTTCCCTTTCTCTCCGGTTCATTTTACGCTCCATTTTCTGAAGACGCTGTTGCAGCTGGCTCCTCCCGGCTTGGAGATTTTTAAAACAGAAACACCACCACACAGCACGCCTTTATTCAGCCCAGCCTGGTGATGGAATGGAAAGGCTGGCAGCCTCGCCTGCGCTGTCAGCTGGGTTTTGCAGTAGGTGGCGTGTCAGCTGTGCAAGCAGGAGCTTTCTGGAGTAAGACGGGAAAGATCATTTGCATTTAACTGTGTCAGGGAAGGGATTTGTTGTGAAAGGCTTTTCACATACAGTCTTTCACACACGAAAGTTACTCAGACTGAATGGGATTTCTTCTTGCTGGCTAAGCTAGCTGTTCAAGATGTTTCATTCTCCAGCTTAGCCGATACCTGAATATCTTTCACGTTATCGTTTACACAGGAAGGCTTAATACTGAACAGTAGTCATCTGTTAGAAAATAATGTATATTGAAATAGTATCTTTTTTTAAAGTAAATCATAAATAGATTACCTGAGGAGAAAGGAACTAGGGCTGTGGGCTTTTCTTCCCTGTGGAAAATCACACGTTGCATAGTGGTGTAGGCATTTTTGAGAAGCAAATAAGAATATTTAAACCTGACACAGCACTTAAATCTAATTGGATTTGCCTGTGATTCTGATATTAGGCTCTTCAGTAAATGAGGAAAAGATTTCTTAGGTTCTTTAACAATAGATTCTTTTATTGTTTCTTTTAATCTTAAATTTTTATTTTTTAATTATTATTTTTAAGACAGGAAGGCATTGCAGTAATCATTTACTTTTTGGTCAAGATTTCCTATGGAAAATTTGTAAACTCAAGCCATTCTTGTGTCACTCTACACCTGCTTTGTTGCTAAACAAAGACTTGCAGAAAATACAGAGCGAGAGAGAATAGAAGAGAAAGAGCTGAAGGTTCTCAGTACTGAGTGTAGAATAGTCTAGGATAAGTGTAGTTAGTGCACTCTCTTCCCATCCTGTTCTCTGCTTTAAATGTTCACAGATGGGTAGAAAAAGAATGGAAGCTTTTGAAAAGAAAAAACAACCTGAGAGTTGAAACCGTTTGAGGGTGGTGCCTTCCTCTCTCACATGCCTTTCATGGCAAGTTAGGGATCTGAGCTTTTCCTTTTAGAATTTAAAGGCCAAGCAGTAAAAAATGTGGATGCTGTCTCCCAAAACTTTTATTGTACTAGTGCATCTGCTAAAGTATCCTGAGGAAATGCATTGTTTTTTAAATTGTACTTCAGCTTTTCGATTAAGTTGATTTATATTTCTGTATCATCAAAAGTATTTTTTATTCACCTCTATGTTGCTAGAAATATTGGGATAACATTCTGAAAAGATCTGCCTTTCATTTTCTTTAAATACTGTTGGATTTTTTCTTCAAATATAAAAATCCCATTTGTAAGTAGAGCCGAGTCCCACTCTTGGGGACCCTGCAGGGCCGAGTGGAACTGTCTTGTCTCATAGGTTCCAAGGCTGCATCTTTTTTTATTTATTTATTTATTTTTATTTTTTTTTAACATTTTATTAGGGGCTCATACAACTGTTATCCCAATCCATACACACATCAATTGTGTAAAGCGTATTTGTACATCATTTCTCAAAACATTTTCTCTCCATTTAAACCCCCGACATTAGGTCCTCATTTTTCCCCTCCCTCCCCGCTCCCCCCTCCCACATGAGCCCTTGATAGTTTATAAATTGGTATTTTGTCATATCTTGCCCTGTCCAACGTCTCCCTTCATCCACTTTTCGGTTGTCTGTCCCCCAGGGAGGAGGTCACACACAGTTCCATGTAATCGGTTCCCTCTTTCCTACCCATTCTCCCTTTACCCTCCCTGTTTTGCCACTCACACCACTGGTCCTATAGGGCTCATCCATCCTGGATTCCCTGTATTTTCAGTTCCTATCTGTACCAGTGTACCTCCTCTGGTCTAGCCAGTCTTGCAAGATAGAATTCGAGTCATGGTAGTGGGAGCGGGGAGGAAACCTTTAGGAACTAGAGGAAGGTTGTATTTCTCATCATTGTTACATCACATCGCACCCTGACTGGCTCATCTCCTCCCCGAGACCCCTCTGCAAGGGGATCTCCAGTGGCCTACTAATGGGCTTTGGATCTCCACTCCACACTCCCCCCATCATTCACTATGGTAAGATTTTTTGTTCTGATGATGCCTTACACCTGATCCCTTCGACACCTCGTGGTTGCATAGGCTGGTGTGCTTTTTCCATGTGGGCTTTGTTGCTTCTGAGCTTGATGGCTGCTTGATTACCTTCAAGCCTTTAAGACCCCAGACGCTATACTTTTTGATAGCCGGGCACCCAAGGCTGCATCTTTATGGAAGCCGGCTGCCTCCTCTTTCTCCAGCAGGCTGCTGGTGAGTTCAGACCTCCAGCCTTTGCTTGGCAGCTGGCCAGCCATTTGAAGTACAGCATCACCAGGCATCCTGAGATTTTGCTCAGAAGCCATGAAATTCAGCCTCCTCATGTTACCAAAGTTAAAATTGCAGTCTAGAGAATTTTTAGTGTTGCACCTAGAACTTTACAGCTTATTAATGACAAAGCCAACACGCAGACTAAAGCTTCCCCTTAGTCCCACATGATGCAGAAGTCTGCTCTTATATTCTAACAGTTTCATGTGTGTCTTTGATTTATTTGCAACCAAACCTTTTCTATAGCTGTGACATAAAAATAATACTGGCAAGACTTTTTGGTTTGGGGTGCTACTTTGAAACTATAGTTATGAAATTCTAACATTTCCCTTACAAGTTTAGTCACCTGCACGTGAGTAGTACCATCTAGAAGGGAAATGAGCTAGGTCATAACAATTTCATTCGTAAATCACCATGGGAATTAGTGCAGCCTCACTATGTAGTGATGCTGACTGCGCTGTCCTTGCCTTGGTGTGTTTGTGTGATGGACTTGAGCATAGTACACTGCTGCAGCTCCCTCCTCGCCCTCGCGGATTCTTGCTGACAGATGGATGCCTTCTTGTGGAATCCTCATCCTGAGTACTGCTAGGAGTGGAAAGGGGGTCCTGCTACAAGTGGGACAACAGACCAGTGCAGCCATTATTCTGGAGCCACCAGATCCCCCTTCACTCACTTATGGCTACTTTCTGCTGCCCCGTTTTCAAAACAACTGAGGTGTGTTCTTGGTGTCTGCCACTTTACCAGGACAGACCCTGAGCCATCCTATCACATCCCCTTAACTCTTGATTACTCTCTCTCACTTTGGACTTCACTGGGTGGCCTTGGCCTGTGCACACCTGGCACATAGGTTTTGTTTGGCTCTTGTAACCTGGAAGCAATCGTGTTGCTGAAGCCTCATGATTGTGCCTGAATGTGTATTTGTGTGAACCCATAGAACTTTTGTGTGCCCCCTGGTTCCCAACTTGCAGTCCTAGAAAAAAGGAGAGCTTTCTTATCCCCGTTACAACAAGAAGATGGCATCTCATGGGAATTGCAGGTGTTCATGGAGCATTTTTGCCTGTATGAGGACCTGTGATCAGGTCAGCACAGCCCTCTTTGGTGTGAGGTGCCATCAGGTCAGTGCTGACTCCTAACCATCCCGTATGGCAGAGAAGAGTTGCCCCCAGGGTTTTCTTGGTTGGAATGTTTGCAGAAGCAGTGCTCCAGGTCTTTCTCCCGTGGTATGGCTGGTGTGTTCAAACCAGCCTTTCTGTTTGTAGCCCCAAACTTCACCACGGCACTCCCAGGACTCCTTTAACACAGCCCTAAAACTACAAAAAATGGTGCCTGAGTCCCTAGACCAAGAGAGACCATATTTCTCTGTCTCACTGCAGATACAAGCTTGCAAAAGATGAGCTCACCTATGCCATCCCTGTGATCACTAACTTCAGGATTGCCCACCCACCTTTGTCAGCAGAAACAGAAGGGCTGGTCATTAGAATTAGATCACTGTATGTTAACCCACAAACAAACAAACAAACAAACGTCAAACTCGATTCCCACTATCATGACCCTGTAGGACAGGGTGGAACTACCCTTGTGGGTTTCTGAGATTGTAGGAGAAAGCATCGTCTTTCTCTTAAGGAGTTACCTGGTGGTTTGAAACTGCTGACCTGGCCACTAGCAGCCCAATGAGCAACCAGTGCTCCATCTGTAATTAGGCATTAAACAAGGACTCTTCAGCCAACTGAGAATCTGAACAATGCTATTGTCAAGTCCATGGCTGAGTATATTTTATAGGTGATTAGATCCAGTGCCCCAGATGCTGGCAAAATCTTTCACTATGAGGTAATACCACTCTCTGCAATAGGGAGACTTTCTTCTAGGCCAGCGGAAGATGTTTCCATCTTTTATACCAACTTCTAGTGGGAAGTGAGGTCATTACCCTGTTTATATACCAGTGATAATTCCAATGCCTTTCCCATGGGAAAGTAGTGGAACACCTTTTGTGGTTGGGAGATGAAACAGGTCACTGGCAGACCACTCTTCTGTGAATTCAAGCACTTCTTTGCTAGGAAAGGGGGTCTTGGAGCTACTTGTAATCAGAATGCAGTGCTCTGTACCTACAGGCTCCACCTCTGCTGAATCTCTGTGGTGGTTTTCATCTTTTGGTTTCTATGCTGTTCTTTTGAAATGATCCTGTATTTCTACCCTGGACTTCCACATGTTTTTTCAAGTTTTTCTTGTATCTTTCTTCCTCGTTTGAACGTGATGTCCAGTTACCTGATATCATGATGATATATTATTTATTACCTGTTCCATTTCTGAAAATTGACTAATCTTTAGCCACCTGAAATTTATGCCCTCCTGATTCTTCTCTGCCTTGACCCAAACTAACACAGCCTCCCTATACTTTTCACAAAACTGGTTCTCTTTTTTAATCTATGGCTTACTTTGTCACCAATACCACCTCTCCATACATACCACAAAACCTAACCCCTTGCTGTTGAGCCTATTCCCGCTTGTGTGTTTAGTGTAGAACTCCATAGGGTTTTCAATGGCTCCAGTCAAGTAGATCAATCAGGACTTTCTTCTGAGGCCCTTCCAGTGGGTTTGAACCTCCAACCTTTCAGATAGTAGCTGAACTGTTAACCATTTGCATCACCCATGACTCCTGCTACTTCCTGACC